CTGCTGTGTTGATCCAGCTCTACACCTTGTTATCTCAGATTCTCCAGCATCTGCAGTTCCTACTATCTCTTAAAGAAACGATTTCCATTGTTACTGTTGCAATTTAGAATTAGCATGTCAATACAGTGTGGAGCTGGAGGAACACAGCAAGTCGGGCAGCATCAGAGGAGCAGGGGAGTCGTTGTTTCGGGTTTACACTTTTCATCAGGACATCTGCAATTCTTGCTATCTCCTAGAATTAGCATGTGTCTGAGTCTCTGGTGGAGAGGCATTAAGTTGAGGGAGGTTTACTTATTATCTGTAATGATTTCTGCTCCTATGATGCTGCTTAGCCTGCTGTGTTCATCCAGCTCTGCACCTTGTTGTCCCATGATTTCTGCATGTGCGTGTTTGTGTTTGGAGGGGGAGGGTGGGGGGTGGTGCTGGGGGTTTGAAACAGGCAGCGTTTGCTCTGCTGAGTAGCCCTCCCTCCTGCTGCCTGACCATGGAATGGTATTGCCATTCATGGAGAAGTTTTCAGCCAAAAGAATTTGTGACAGCAAACGGTCTCTGTTATTGATTCAGTGTTGAGGCAAGGACAAATACAGGATCCACTTGGAACTGCTTGTCAGTGTAACTGTAAATTTAACAAAACATTTACAATAGTGTGGAACAAGAATAATATTTCAGCTTCTCTGCCAGAGTGTTTAAATGTATCAGTCCAAAATCAGTAACCGGTCCCTCCCTGTCTCATGCTTTAGCAAATGGACCAGACAAGCAGTAACTGTAGCAAACGGCAGCCTTCACTTCTCTGGTAGTGAGACTTAGTCCTATTTAAAACAAAATATATTAACTTCAGTCAGATACAAAACGTGACATAATTGAAAAATGGAGCAAGGCACTTCACAGAGAGCCAAGCCTGTACTGGCTGTTTTGTGCCCTGATGATGTTGAATACTTCCCTCTATTTGTGTATTTGTACCCTCCCTGTTCATTCCTGAAGATGGTGGTCAGATCAGAGTTTTAAGTAAATCTTAGACAAACTAAAACCTTGAGAGTAGAGGGAGTGCTAAAAATGACTAAATATTTGTAATACAGATAAGATTGCAAAACTCCACAAGGTAATGCCTTTCACTTTCATCTCACAGAATATCGTTTCACTTTCTTCCTTTGGTTATATTGCAAGTGTCTGCCCCTTTCTGTAACAACAGGTTCTGTAGCGGATGTGAGTTGAACCTCCTTTATTGATGATGAAGCATCTTCCCATTTCCAAGTGGCTGGCTCAGTTGGGTGTCCCTGAATACTTCAATGAAGAAAATAACGGCATAGATGTGAGTGTGACTAAGCCGACGGACAATTCCTAAGAAAATAGTAATCTGCCAACTAACGAGCAAAAGCAAATCTTTTTCAGCTAATAACATTTTAAAGGTATTTAATAGATGGCAGTTAGAGATAACGTGGTTCCTTTGTTCACAAAGGGAGGCAGGGATAGGCCAGGTAATTACAGACTAGTCAGTCTGATGTCAGTGGTGGGGAAATTCATAGAAATCATAGAATCCCTACAGTGTGGAAACAGGCCATTTGGCCCAACAAGTCCACACCGCCCAGATCCATCCCCCTACCCCTGCATTTCCCTTGTCTAACCCACCTAATCTAAACATCCCTGAGCACTATGGGCAATTTAGCGTAGCCAGTCCACCTAGCCTGCACATCTGTGGACTGTGGGAGGAAATTGGAGCACCCAGAGGTAACTCCAGCAAATTATTGGAAAAAATTCTGAGACAGGATCAATTGTAACTTGGAAAGGCTGGAATAGTCGGCACAGATTTTTTAAATATCCCTACAGTGTGGAAGCAAGTCATTCAGCCCTCTAAAGAGTACACACCCAGGACCACCCCCACCCCCTCCTTATCCCAGCATTTCCCACAGCTAATCCACCTAGCCTGTGCATCCCTGTATTGACAATTTAGCATGGCCAACCCACCTAACTTGCGCACATCTTTGGACTGTGGGAGGAAACTCTGCACAGTCACCTGGCACTGTGAGGCAACAGTGCTAACCACTGAGCCACCACGCCACCCCAAGAGAGAGATCCTGTCTGATTAATTGAATTTGAGTTTTCTGAAAAGGCAACTAAACATATTGATGAGGCTGGTGCAGTTGATGTGGTTTAGACTATGGCCTTTGACAAGCTCCCACATGGAAGGCTGGTTGAAAAAATAAGAGCCCATCCAAGGCAAGTTGGCAAACTGGATTGGAAATTCAGTTACAAATAGGAGGCAAAGGGTGATGGTGGAGAGTTGTTTTTATGATCGGAAGCCTGTTACCATCAGTGTATCACAAAGATTGATGCTGGGATCAACGCAATTTGTTATGTACATTGGATGTGAATGTAGAAAGTTTAGTTATTAAGTTTGCAGATGACACAAAAATTGGTGATGTTGTTGTTAGCGAAGAGGATGGTCTCAGGCTACAGTCTGATATTGACCAGCTGCTAAATTGGGCAGAGCTATGGTAGATGGAACAAAAACAGAAATTACTAGAAAAACTCAGTGGGTCTAGCAGTAACTGTGAAGAGAAAGGCGAGTTAATGTTTCTGGTCCTTCTTCAGAATGGCAGATGGAATTTAATCCTGATAAGAGCAAGGTCATGCTTTTTGGGAGGCCCAATAAGGGAAGGATGTATACAATGAATGATAGGTCTCGAGGGAGTACAAATCCGTAAGTCCCTCAGTGCGGTTAGACAGTGTGGTGAAGAAGACATATAGGATGCTAGCCTTCATTAGCTGGAAGCAGAATATAGGAACAAGGAAGTTTTGTTACAACTTTATAAAATATTGGTTCAGGCACAGATGGAATAGTGTGGGGACCAGAACTGCACACATTAACAGAAGGACACGATTGCACTGGGGAGGGTGCAGAGGAGATTCACCAGGATGTTGCGTGGGGTGGAAAGTCTCAGTTATGAGGAAAGACTTCATAGGCTGGGCTTGTTTTCCTTAAATCAGAGACGGCTGAGGGGGCTCTGATTGAGGTATACTAAATTGAGAAGCATAGACAGAGTAGATTGTGAGACTCCTTTTTTTTTCCCTATGGCAGACTTGTCTAGCGCCAGAAGACACAAGTTTAAGGGGAGCCAGTTTGGAGGAGATCTGAGAGAATTTTTTTAACCCAGAGTGTGGTAAATCTATGGGAATGTGGTGTCTGAGAGGAGGCAGGTACTCTCGCAACATTTAAAAAACATCTGGATGAGAACTTTAAAATGTCAGAGTACAGTAGGCTATGAACCAAGTGCAAGCAAATGGGATCAATGTAGTTTGGTGTTTGTTGGTTGGCATAGACACGATGGGCTGAAGGGTCTGGGGTTTCAATGTTGTATGACTCATACTATACCTGATTGTAGTGGAAAAGCCGACTACCATTTTACTCTCTAGTGTAGCAATATTGAAGTTAATGTGAGGCTGTCTTACCACCTTCAAGCAATGAGGTCAGCTAGCTCATTACAGACAAGGTGTCAAACCTGGGACCTTGCTGGCTGATGGATTCAGTTCTCCCTGGCTGTCTGTGGGAAGGGGGGAAATCAAAAAGGGCAGGAGGAAGATCTGATCACCAATTTTTCAATAGTAAAATCTCTCTCTTTCTTCCCCTGCATTGGTATAGTGGATTATCGCTATACTATTAATCCAGAAACCCAGGTAATATTCCATGGCCCTCTGTTTAATTGCTGCGATGGTTGTTTAAATTTTAATTGAGCCTGCTCCACTATTCAATATGATCATGGCTGATCATCCAACTCTGTATCCTGTACCCAGTTTCTCCCCAGACCCTTTGGTTCCTTTAGCCTTGAGAACCATATCTTAGCTCCTTCATGAAAACATTCAATGTTTTGGCTTTAGCTACTTTCTGTGGCAGAGAATTCTGCAGGCTCGCCATTCTCTGGATGACGAAATTTCTCCTCATTCCGGTAAGAGGAGTTGAGTAGGTTGGCCCTGTACTCTTTGGAATTTAGAAGAATGAGAGACATCCTTTATTAAAACATGTAAGTTTCTTCAGAGACTTAACAGGGCAGATGTGGAAATGTGGGAGAGTCCAGGACTAGTGGGCTTATCCCAGAGTAATGGGTCAAGGATGATTCGATTGGACATGACGTCAGAGAATGGCAGAGCAGGCTTGATGGGCTGAATGGCCTACTTGCTGTCCTATATCTTATGCTCTAGCAGAATCAGTGGTAGGGGTAATTGGTGAGCTAGAGTGTTATCAGCATTTTGGAACAAGCAAATGCCAGATCAGTAGATGATCTTGCCAAAGGGTGGAAATAATTAGGATTTTTTTTTGTATTTGCAAAGGCAGTCTTAATTAATTAACTTTTAGCTGAACTTGTGAACCACTAGTTTTGATGGTTTAGCATTGTGAGCTTCTGTTTCTTCAGGTTACTCTGGAGAACAACTGTTCCTTTGTCACCCTTGGGGAATCACTGGTTGTGTTGCCAGAGATTTCTGTTGAGCCTGCACATAACTTCATCTCATCAACTGAGCCTGCACCTAGTGGCAATCACCTATCCTTTAAAATGCTGATACTGCACTACATCAGTCTGTCATTAAATAAATAACTTGGAACCAGGAGGAATAATAATACATCTTCTTGAACAAATAGTTCGACTCATCCAGTAATTTGTTTAATCTTTAGCAATTACTTGTTCTATTTGATACTTTACTAAGAAATGCTAATTTGCTGAATGAGGCCCATGCTTAGTTATGCTGTTTAGTTGTGACAAATAGAATGGAACAGGACCCTACTATTGAAGTTTACTCTCTTCAATTCCATCTTTCTTAACATTCTGCATTATGTGGATGATTCTGTTGGTGTAGTTCGTGTAAAATCTTAAAACAACATTTATTCAGGACAGCTTTGCAATTTTCCTTATCCACTAATCACTAACTACATTAACAATTAGACCTTCAAACTCATTGCAAAAAGAATATTATTCCCTAGTTCCTAATTGCTGTACGATAAATAGATCTGAATTACTGCCTGTACCAGAAGTATTATCTATTAGTTACCACACTGACTAGGAAATTAATACCATAACAGGTAACTGTATCAAAAATTTACCATTCCCTAATTGGTAACTGTACTGGGGATTTTGACCCTTGATCAGTAGCTGCAGAGAAACTTAATATCTTCATTATCAATGCCCTTGGGATTTCACCTTCAAGTTAGTAAATGTGTTTGGAATGGTATCTCCTAATTATGAATTCCACTTGGACTATGAGCCCCTAATTACCAACTGCAAGAAATATTTAGTAATGTGATTGCTTTCTAAATTTGGAATATAACTTCCTAATTATTAACTGCACTACAGATGTATGGCCCTAATTACTGACACTTTGAATATCATTCTCAAATCCTATCTTGTGTAGGAATATCATTCCTAAAATCATGAGGGATTTGAATAGATTAGGCAGGGAAAGGCTCCTGCCACTCATAGAAACGCAAGAGATAATTGGCAAATTAAACAATAGAGAGATGTGGCAAAACCTGTTCAGGCAGCAAGCTGTTAAGAATTAGTTTCAGAGAATCATTAGAATCCCTACAGGGTAGAAGCGGGCCATTCAGCCCATTGAATCCACACCAACCCTCCGAAGAGCATCCCATCCAGACCCACCCCCTACTCTATCCCTGTAACCCTGCCTTTTCATGGGGCTAATCCACCTGGCCCACACATGCCTGGACAATTTAGCATGGCCAATCCAACTCACCTGCATATCTTTGTGGGAGGAAACCAGAGCACCCACAGGAAACCCACGCAGACACTGGGAGAATGTGTAAACTCCACACAGGCAGTCACCTGAGGCTGGAATCAAACCAGGTCGCTGGTGCTGTGAGGCAGCAGTGCTAACCACTGAGCCAGATCATGCTGCTCGAGAATGTGACAGAGACCATTTCAATTGGGACATTTAAGAGGGTGTTGGTTTATTATCTGAATAGGGATGATTGTGCAGAGTCACCAGCAGAATAGCACTCAGTCACTGCTAGGACTGAATGGTCTGCCCTGTAATCTGTAAACTAATTGAACTAGGAATTACATCTTTCAGTCGGAGCATTGAAACTTAATTAACAAAAACAGAAATTGCTGGTGAAACCGAGCAGGTCAGGCAGCATCTGTGGGAAGAAAAAATTAACATTCTAAGTCGAATGAAACTCTTCTGACTTCATCAGAGTCACCAGTCTCGAAACATTAACTCTGCTTTCTCCCCACAGATGCTGCCACACCCGCTGAGTTTTCCCAGCAATTTGTTGTTTTGTTTCAGATGTCCAGCATCTGCAGTTCTTTTTATTAAGTTTCAATAATCTAAAACACTTGGTGACTTTTCTTTGACCTCTTGGATGCTGGATAATCCATTTGTATCATTGTTGGACATGGCACACATTATGATGTTATTTTCAAATCAGATCCCAGAATGAAATCTGGCTTGATAGATCATATTTTATTTAATGTATAGGCTTTCACTGAAACATAGGCCTATGAGGCTGCAGATTTGGTTAACTCAAAGAATATAATGCAAAAGAAATAAAAATAAAATATAACAGTCTGAAAAACAGAGCTGAATAAAATCCATCTACTTCCCAATACTATCATTTTTTCAACAAATCACAATCTGGAGAAATATTCCTTCCCTATCGAAACTGAGACTTGAGTTAACTGCTTTATCTCAATTCCTGTCTTGTGAGCTATGAGGCCTTTTCCCTTTATCAGTCACATAACTGAGATCTTAGACTTTCTCAGTTTATTGTAGAATTCTAGCCAAACACCCCAGTCTGGAGGCTTCACAGACTACTCTTTTTCTCACTGATATAACTTATTCCCCTAACAGCTCTAAACAATCTCCTGGGAAAGACTGTGCTTGCCTCTGACCACAGTCAGGTCTCCTTTGAACTGAGGGTTCTGATGAAGGGTCACTGGGCTTGAAACATTAACTCTGATTTCTCTCCACAGATGCTGCCTGACCTGCTGAGCTTTTCCAGCAACTTTTGTTTCTGCTCCTTTGAACTGAACCCAGAAGCTTATTAACATTTTTTTTAAAAGACATGTTCATCCTGGATTCCACTACAACTGATGGCTTAATGTTCTCTCCTGTCATAAACTCCCAACATATGAACTAACATCTATTAATACTTCAGGGGTCCTTACCCTCACCTGCTCCCTGATACATATTTGTTTAAAATCATGGTTACTAAAAGATTGACTTATTAACTTTAAAACCCCTTCACAAAAATAAGCCACAGCCATATTTCACTAGTTTGAAATCCAAATTCTATGAAAAAGAAATATATACAAACCATGACAACAAGGTGCAGGGCTGGATGAACACAGCAGGCCAAGCAGCATCATAGGAGCAGAAAGGCTGACGTTTTGGGCCTAGACCCTTCATCAGAAAAGGGGGAGGGGAAGGGGGTTCTGAAATAAATAGGGAGAGAGTGGAGGTGGATAGAGGAGAGGAAACAAACAGGTCGAAGAGGCGGGGATGGGGCCAGTAAAGGTGAGTGTAGTTAGGGAGGGGATAGGTCAGTCCAGGGAGGACGGATAGGTCAAGGGGGCGGGCTGAGGTTAGTTGGTAGGAGATGGGGGTGCGGCTTGAGGTGGGAGGAGAGGGGATGGGTGGGAGGAAGAACAGGTTAGGGAGGCGGGGATGAGCTGGGCTGGTTTTGGGTTACGGTAGTGGGAGGGGAGATTTTGAAGCTTGTGAAATCCACATTGATACCATTGGGCTGCAGGGTTCCCAAGCGGAATATGAGTTGCTGTTCCTGCAACCTTCGGGTGGCATCGTTGTGGCACTGCAGGAGGCCCAGGATACTTGGCCTGCTGTGTTCATCCAGCCCTGCACCTTGTTGTCTCGGATTCTCCAGCATCTGCAGTTCCTACTATCTCTATATACAAACCGTGCACCTTTCATCTAACATGGTAGATTATGCTGATAGTTGAGTATGACGAGCTCATTTATTTAAAGAGTGGATATGTAAGCAGTAATGAAAATTGTCGGTCTGCCTTTATATGAAAAGATTTTCTGGCCATTTAGATAAGTTTATCTTGAAACAAAGTTCTTATCTACATTACTAAACAATATGATTCACCGTTCCTGATCTTATGCTTCATGCACGATTTGGAATGGACTTTCATTTTATCCCAATTTTTCCTTCCTCAATTCTTCTTTGTTGTTTTAAACTCACAAACAGTGACTGTTCATTGATATACAGTTCTAGAAGCATTGAGATCTCTGTAGTCCATTACTGAAAATGCCATCAGCAGTGAATGGCATTAAGCTTGATCATCTGTCACTATCAGGTTTTCTGTCTGATTTTCATACAGTCTCACTTTCAGTGATTAACAACAACCTTGAACAGCAGCCCTGACTCATTATCCCCCTTCAGTGATCCAATAGCATTGGTGCTAACTGTTAGCCCACAGCGATTTGCTGATTCAGCGAAGCCTTGGATTCAAGTCCAGGAATTTCCTGTTTAATGTCACTTTATAAATTTGCTGAGCCATTGGCGAGTGGATGGTCCTCTTATTTAGGACATCAAGACTCCAGGAAAATACATTTAGAAGATAAACCAGATGTCGAACAACAAAAATAATTTACTTTCTAAACTCTCTTTACACTGTATGTATCACAGAGAAACTCCACCGATGAGGTTATCCTTTGAGTTTAATTGCAGTCAGAATCTGACATGATTGATATTGTAATGTTTATAAATCCACAGTATAACTTTGAAGTCTGGTTTTAAAGGTCAAATTACAGTTTATCTTAACTAGAGGTAGCTGTAAAATCCACTAGTCATTTTGAAGAGCCCTGTAAAAAACAGTTTTATGGGCTTTGAACTGAAGTCTACATGTAAGTAAGAAACACTGGTGATGAATTGAAAGCAAGAGGGTTGATGTATTAATCCCATGTTGAATGACGCTATAGTCTGGAACTTTGTTGTGCTGATTCTCATTTAAAAGAACTGTGACAGTGCATTTACTTGATGCCTACTGGTTCAAAAAGAAAGGTAGATATGTTTAAACAATATCACATGTTATACAGAATAGCACATCCCAAACTACATTCAAATGAAGAAAATCCCTAAACATCAAAAAACCTTATGTAATGCAATTTGCTATAACTATAGGCTGAAATTTCCCATTAACTGGTGGATATTTTTGGGAATGTCTCATCATGGGTAACAGGGACTTTTCTCACGCTAACCTCAGCTCTTCACCTCTTTAGTGTCTTTCTTGTTCAATTGTGCAGCAGGAGACATGGAATTCCTGCCACTGCTGGAACCTTGCAGAATGCAAGATGTAGGCACCATATTGAAAGCTCGGCTACACTCCAGTGCCAGTCAGGAACTATCTTGCACACTATCCTCTTAGGAAACTGAAATGTTACAGAAAGGGAAATTGGCATCCCTCTTTCCAGACAGAGAATGGGAGGTCTTTTTGGATGGGGTGGTCAAGAGAAGAGCCATTGTCTACCGAGCAAACCACCCAAAGAGACCAAGACACCAAACACAGAGAGAAGATGAAGATCAAAATGTTTCCGTCACAGAATGGCTCGGCTGATATTCTACCAGAAATCAAGACACCGCCTCCTATGAAATAATATCTTTCTTTAAATATGGGGACCAAAGCCGCTCACAGTACTTCAGTTGTGATCTCACCAACAACTTGTACAGTTTCAGTCAGGCTTCCCTATTCTTATACACCAACCCCCTTGAAATAAGTGCCAATATTCCACTAGCCTTCCTGATTACCTACTGCAAGTGTATGTTAGCTTTGTGTTTTGTGCACAAGTACCACAGCCCCTCCCCGAGTCACTTTTTGTTTTGCAGATTTCTGCAGCTTTCCTCCATTTCAATAATATGCTGTTCTTCTGTTCTCCCTTCCAATATGAACAATTTCACTTTATCCCACATGTTACTTCATTTGCCAATTTTTTGCCCACTCACTTAATCTATCAATATCTCTCTGTAACCTGTCTGTATCCCTCTCACAATTGCCTTTCCACCTGTTTTGTCATCTGCACATTTGGCCACAGTACAGTTGCTTCCTTCTTCCAAGTCATTAATAAATATTGCAAACAGTTGCAGTCCCGGCATTGATCCCCGTGGAACCCCACCAGTCATGGGTTACCAACCTGAAAAAGAATCCCTTATTCCCACTTGCTGTTTCCTGCCCATTAGCCAATTCTCTGTCCATGCCAATATTCTATTACCAACACCATGGGCTCTTCGCTTATGACTTAACCTTTTGTGAGGTACCTCTTAAATGCCATCTGAAAGTCCAATACAGCACATCTACAGGTTCCCCTTTATCCACTCTGGTTGAGATTTCCTGAAAACACTTGAATACATTAGCCAGAGATAGTAGGAACTGCAGATGCTGGAGAATCCAAGACAACAAGGTGCAGGGCTGGATGAACACAGCAGGCCAAGCAGCATCATAGGAGCAGAGGGGCTCCTATGATGCTGCTTGGCCTGCTGTGAATACATTAGCCAGATGTGATTCCACTTTCATGAAGCCATGCTGATTCTGCTTGATTAGGTAGTGATTTTCCAAATGTGCTGCTATTATTTCCTTAATAATTGATTTCCACATTCTTCCAACAATAGAATTTAGACTAATCAGCCTATAGACTTTTGACTCCCTGCCCTTTAGAATAGGGGTGTCACATTAGCAGTTTCCAATCCTCTGGTATTTCTCCAGAATCCAACAATTTTTGGAAAATTACAACCAGTGCAACCACTATCTCCACAGTTACCTCTGTTACGATCCTCCGATGCAAGCCGTCACATCCAAGGAACTTGCCTGCCTTTAGCCCCATTAGTTTGTTTGATACTATTTCTCTACTGATGGCGATGGTATTTAATTCCTCCCCCACATTCTTCAGTATAAAAGGGATGCTCGGGGTATCTGTCACCTTTAAAGATTGATGCAGAATATCTTTTCAACTCCTCTGCCATTTCTTTGTTCCTCATTCCCCATAACTATATCACCAAATTCATTTTTAAAGGGGCCTATCACTTTAACCTTTCAGTTCCTTTTTATATATTTAAAGAAGCTCTTATTGTCAGTTTTTATAGTCCTTGCTGGTTTACCCTTGTTGTTTATTTTCTCTGGCTTTTTTATCTTCTTAGTCCTCCATCGTTCGATTATCTTTAAATTTATCCCAGTCATTGGGGCTTTTGAGTCCGTATATGCTTTTTCTTTCAATATTCTCCTTAATTGCCTTTTATATTATACATAAAGGTGACCATTTCCTCAGCTGGGGGGAGAGGAAGAGTCTCCAGGTTCCTGCATAAATTGTGGTGGAAGATTGGCAGAAACTTTGAAGAAATGGCATAATCAGCTGTAACGGGAGAAAAGATTGTGGATTTTTTTGGCAGTCCCCATTAACACCTTTGCCTTGGCTGCTGTTCCTCTTTGTATCCATCTGTAAGAGTAAAATCTAGCACTCTTGTTTATCAGATAACCCACTGGAACCATAAAGTTTGTAACCATAGCAAGACCAAGTCTATTTAATTGCTTATCTACTATTCTGGTGGTCATATAATGCAGTGTTAGTAAAGTTGGAGCTTTTTCTTCTTGGGACAGAGATAATCTTGCATAAAATATGAGCACTGCACAGATGCTGAGTGACCCCTTGGACTAGGTTTAGTCCCTTTCTTTCCTAGGAATACATTCAGCCCATTGAGTCTGCCCCCCCCCCCATTCAATACAATCATAGCTGTTTGAACACTTAACACCTTTTCCTCACCCCAGCCCCATAACCCTGTACGCCAGTGGTAATCAAAAACCTATCAATCTCTTAAGTGTAGTGAAAGACTGAGCCCCCACAGCTCTCTGTGGTAGAGAATTCCAAAGGTTCACAGCCCTCTGAGTAAAATAATATCTCTTGATCTCAGACTTAAGGGTACCCCACTTATTTTTCAACTGTGGCCCTTGGTTCAAGACTCCCTAATGAGGGACGTATCATGGCTACATCAATCTTCTCGATCCCTTGAAATATTTTGTAAATTTCAATTATGTCGCTTCTCATTCTGCAGAGATTTGAAGAATACAGGCCCAGTTTACCCAATAAGACAGTCATCTAATATTCTTGAGTAGATTTGTAGCTCGGGTTGTGGATGCTGTGGTTGGTTCGTTAGTTCGCAGACCCCCGCTGTGTAATAAGATCAGACACCTGGATAAGAAATCTATCCAACAGAAAACTGACAGACGCAGAGAATGCTGTACTAATACGTGGACTCAATTACAACCACAGAGATGCTAACAAGACAGAATTCCTAGCCACGCTAGAAGCCACTCTGAGGACCAATGGCATCAATGAGGAAACTCAAAAAGCCATAAAACAGACGGTAGTCCCGACGTTGACCAGAAGGAACAAATTCAACACACTCAACACAACAGAAAGAGAGGCCGTGGAAAGACTGAAAAAATACATTAACATCATAATCCTACCAGCGGACAAAGGGTGTATCTCAACAAGCAAGACTACATCACTAAAGCACAGACGCTACTAGCAGACACAAATACATACCGACAAGTGGAAACAGACCCGACACTGCAACTGAGAAACAAGAGACTTAAGCAGACCGGAAAAATCAACAAAATGGACTACCTAAAAATGAAACCAGAAGGGACAAACACCCCCTGATTCTACAGCCTCCCAAAGGTACACAAACCGGAAGTACCCCTCAGACCCATAGTCTCCCTCCCAGGCACACCAACACATGGGTTAGCTGAGGAGTTACAGCGAAGACTAAAACACCTCATCAGCAAGTCACCCCACTCAATCCACTCAGCCCAGGAGTTCCTCAAATCCCTCAACGACATAAGAATAGACGGAGATGAGACCATGGTGTCATTTGATATTACCGCCCTATTCACATCGATCGACATACCACTGGCAAGAGAAACACTAGCAATGCTACTGGAGGAACTGGACCCGAATAGCACCATCTCCATAGATAACATGCTGAAGTTACTGGACCTATGCCTCACGACCCACTTTACCTTTTTAATGGCCAGATCTATGAACAGATCAACGGGACACCTATGGGGTCACCCATGTCTGGACAAATAGCAGAAACAGTGATGGGGAGACTTGAAAGCATAGCTCTTCCATAGATCCAACCCAGACTATGGATCCAATTTGTGGACAACACTTTTGTCATCATTACACGAACTAAACTAGAAGAAACACACCAACTTATAAACAACATTTTCACCAGCATCAAATTCAGAGAAGAAGGAAAGAACAAACTGCTCCCATTCCTCAATGTGATGCTATAACGCAGGGTCAATGGGGAATTTCTGACCAAAGTATACAAAAAGACCACACACACACACGGATCAAGTCCCAAATTTCAACAGTAACCAGCCCAACACCCACAAACGGAGTTGCATGAAAACACTATTCAAACGAGCCACAACACACTGCAGCAACCCAAAACTATGCCAAAATGAAGAATATCTCCACCAAGTATTTAGAGACAACAGATACCCGAACAGCTGGGTATGACGATGCCTGTCACACAAACAACAGGAAGATACAGTATGCCCCGACACACTTGTCATGTTAGTGTACATCAAGAACATATATCCAAACTGACCACAAGACTCCTATGGCCACTGGGCATCAGAGTAGCACACAAACCTACATCAACACTACGCCAACAGCTAACAAGAACCAAAGACCCCTTACCCGCTATGGACAGAACCAATGTAATATACAAGATTCCATACAAACATTACATTAGACAGACAGGAAGGAAACTGGCTATGAGAATACATGAACACCAACTAGCAACGAAAACACACAACCAATACTCACTCATCCCCATAAATACAGATAAGGAGGACCACCAGTTTTATTGGGACAATGTCAGGATCCTAGGACAAGCCAAACAGGGACAGGCAGGGGAATTCCTGGACACTTCGTTCTCCATCAAGAAGGCCATCAATAAACACATAGGATTAGACCCTATAAACGCACCACTGCGAAGAAAACCCGGAAATGAGGTAATCAACTCCGATGGACCCCACAGTTTAAACAGCAAGTGGGAAAATGCTACAATGCTTCATTGTAATGAAACGTCTGCAAACTAATGATCCAGCTCAGCGAGCAAACCAACCAAGACAGTCATCCTGGGACCAAGTATGGTGAATGTTCATTACATTCTCTGTATGGTGATAATAACTTTGAGTTAAGACCAAAACCGCACACTGTACTGCAGGTACAGTCTAACCGAGATCCTCCTCAAGTTGACGGGTGAGGTGCCCGGAAGATTGGAGCATGGCTAACGTTATGCCTTTATTCAAGAAAGGCTGTAAGGAGAAGCCTGGGAAATATAGACCTTTTGGGCTTATTTTGGAGGCAGGTACATTGTTAGGAGATGATTCTGAAAGATAGGATTTACATGCATTTAGAGAGGCAAGGACTGGTTAGAGATAGTCAGCATAGCTTTGTGCAAGGGAAATTGTGTCTCACAAACTTGGTTGAATTTATTTTGAGGAAGTAACCAAAAGGATTGATGAGGACAGGACAGAACAGCACATGTTTATATGGGTTTTAGTAAAGCCTTTGACAAGGTTCTGTGTGTGGGATTCAGGGTGAGCTTGCCAATTGGATGCAAAATTGGCTTTATAGTAGGAGAGAGAGTGTGCTTGAGAGTTGTTTTTCAGAAATGGGTTCACTTTTTTATTTGTCATTTACATAAATGATTTGGATGAGAAAATAGAAGGCATGGTTAGTAAATTTGCTGATGGCACCAAAATTTGTGGTATAGTGAACGGTGAAGGAGGTTATCTAACAGTACAAAGAAATCTTGATCAATTGGGTCAGTAGGCTGAGGAGTGGCAGATGGAGTTTAATTTGGATAAATATGAGGTGTTGCATTTTGATAAAAACAAACAAGGGCAGGACTTGTACAATTAATAGGGTAGGGCTCTGGCTGGTCATACAGGCATACAGCACAGAAACAGACCCTTTGGTCCCACTAGTCCATGCCAAACATAATCCCAAACTAAACTAGTCCCACCTGGCCCATATCCCTCCAAACCTTTCCTATTCATGTATCTATCCAAATATCTTTTAAATGTTGTAATTTGTGCCCACATCCACCACTTCATCAGGAAGTTCATTCCACATGCGAACCACCCTCTGTGTTTAAAAAAAAATTGTTCTCTTATGTCTTTTTTAAATTTCTCTCCTCTCGCCTTTAAAAATGTGCCCCCTAGTCTTGAAATCCCCCATCCTAGGGAAAAGACAACCACCATTAACTCTGTCTATACCTGTCATTATTTTATGAACTTCTTTCAGGTGTTCTAGAACAGAGAGACCTAGAGGTTCAGGTACATAATTCTTTGAAATTTGTGTCACACGTAGATGGGTTGGTTAAGAAGGCGTTTAGCACGCTCGCCTTCATTGCTCAGACTTTTGAGTATAGGAGTTGGAAGGTCATGTTGAGGTTGTACAGGATATTGGTGAGGCCTCTTCTGGAGTACTGTGTGCAGTTCTGGTTGTCCTGCTATAAGAAGGATATCATTAAACTGGAGAGGGTTCAGAAAAGATTTACTAGGATATTGCCAGGGATGGAGGGTTTGAGTTATAAAAATAGGCTGGATGGGCTGGGATATTCTTCACTGGAGTGTAGGAGGTTCAATGGTGACCTAATAGAGGTTTATGAAATCATGAGGGTTATAGATAAGATGACTAGCAAGGGTCTTTTCCCTGGGGTGGATGAGTTCAAAACTAGGGGGCATATTTTTAAAGTGAAAGGAGAATGTTTTTAAAAAGGATGTGAGGGGCTACTTTTTTTACACAAGAGAGTGGTTCATGTGCAGAATGAACTGCCAGAGGGAAGTGGTGGATGCTGGTACAGTTAAAACATTTTAAAAGACGTTCAGATAAGTACATGAATAGGAAAGGTTTGGAGAGATATGGGCCAAATGCAGGCAAGTGGGGCTCGTTTAGTTTGGGAACATGGTCATCATGGACTGGTTGGACTGAAGGGTCTGTTTCCATGCTATAGAACTCTATGACCCTATAAGTGTCCAGTTACCATGTCCTTTTATAATTGCCAGCAGGTTTGTAGTTCCCAGTTTCCTCTCCCTCCTTTCACAAACAATGGAGTTACATTTAGAACCTTTCAAGTTGTGCTAACCATTCTGGACTCCATAAGACCTTGGAAGATGAGCAACAACGCATCCATTTCCTCTTCCTCTTTTTCAGTGGTCTGAGATATAAATCCAGTCCCACTAATTTGTCCAGTGCTATTTTTTCTTTGCTGTTACTAATTTCTTTCCTATTACTTCCAACAGAATTTGAACAATGCTCTTGTTTGAACAGTAAACT